TAGTCCACTTGTCCCTGGTCTACATGTCCTATAGTCCACTTGTCCCTGGTCTCATTTAAATGACCCCCCGCAGGACCACCTGTCAGCCGGTACCTGACCGGTACCTGCCTGTTTGGACCTGGGGACACACCCAGCAGGAGACTCTCAGTCCTCCCWGCGGGACTGGAAAGGCAGGAGAGACCTGATGGTTCCAGCAGAGACCAGATTTAGAACCGGAACCTGTCTGGATCAGGACTGGGGTCAGTCCAGGCCACGTACAGGTTCGAGCCCCGCCCCTCCCGGTACTGACCCACTTCCGGTGATGAAATAAATCAGGTGCTGGTTCCACACCTGAGCTCCGAACTGAAGCGCGCCAATAATCGATCTTTAATCGATTCAAGTCATTCAGACATGAAGCAGAGAGAGGAGGAAGTTTGTTCTGAAAGCATCCAAACAACCCGAACCGAACCGARCCGARCCGARCCGAACCAGTCCCGGGTCTTACCTYTGATGTAGTTGGACTTGGCTTCATCCAGCAGGCTGGACGCTGACCCCATGGTGGTTCTGCTGGTGTCTGAGGATCCACAGGTAGACTTCAGTCCTCCAAGGTCCGAACTGGGTCTGAATCTGATCCGCGTGCAGCAGGAGGAGCAGGAGGAGGAGCAGGAGGAGGAGCAGGAGGAGCAGCAGGAGGAGCAGGAGGAGGGTGTGGTCTTCCTCCTCTTCCTCTGACAGAAACCAACCTGTTCATCTGAGTTTTTATTTTTAAGTTTTTATCTTAAGATTAAAACAAACATTTTTAGAAAAAGTTACGTAAACGAATAAAAACTGAAGTTTATTTAATATAATTAAATGAAAATTTTAAATTAAAAGCAGGTTTAAGGAACACCAACACCCCCGCGCCCCCTGCTGGTCAAACCCTCAAACATCATGAACAAATCTGGTTTTAATCAAATATAAAAACAACTAAAACTATGAAAGAGTTTTAAGTCGAGTTTTCCAGATATTTTATGTGTAATTGTGAAATGTGGGTCTGCACTCACTGTAAATAAAAAGAGGATTTTATTTTAAGCTTCAAATAACATAAAAAGAAAAAACTTTACTGAAGCTAAAGCTGGAGCTGGTATAGATAAAACACCTGCTCAAGGACACAAGTGGCAAAACAGTAGCTAAATATAAGCTGAAAATAACTCAACAGAAGCTAAAAGTAGCAGCTGAAAGCTAACATTCAGTGAGAACGATGGAGAAATCTGAGTGTATTTCTATACAAACGTTTGGTAAAACTTAAATATGTTTTGTATGTAAAAAAATGACAAGAACCAAAAAGGCGACGGAGCTGAATGTTTTGATGTAAGAACAKCTAAAACAGCTGTAGTGACTGTTTAAACATGATCATGTTTGTAGCTGAAGGAGCCAAACTGAGATAAAAACAGTTTTTATAAATAAATCACCAGAAGCTGCAGACGAGCTGATTTATCTGAGCAGAAACGGATCAGCTGAGCGCGGGAAATAAAAAACTGAAATATTTCTGGTCATCAGAAAGATTTTATTCTTTGAATAAGAAAACAGGTTAAAAAAGAAAGAGAAGCTGCTTGTTTTTAAAGAAATAAATAGCTAAAATCAGGTGAAACTCAGCGGTTCTGCTGTGCTTGTATCAGTGCAGGCAGACAGGGGGCGGGGTCTGAAGCTCCGCCCCCCTCAGGGCGCCTTGGAGGAGCTGACGCTGGCCTGCGTGGCCGTGGCAGCGTTGGTGTACGTGGGGACGCTGTACTTGGACAGGACGGACTGGAACTGCTGCAGCGTGGCGTCGGTCCGGACCCCCGTCGGGTCGAAGTGGGTCCGGCTCACCCTGAAGCCGGCCTCCATCAGGTACTGCAGGAACTTGTTCAGCCTGTGGAGGAGTTCAAAAAACTGTCGAGTCAGCAGAGATAAAAGCCATAAAATGCTGAGTCAGCTTTCGCTCCGTTGTTCCCTGGATTTCCTTCAACCATGTCGGAGGGAAAACTTCAGCTACTTTCAGCTTTTTTTAGCTGTTCAGCTGTAACTTCAGCTTTCTCTCTTATAGAACTTATTCAAATTTTATTGTGTTGTAATTTTATCATTTTATTTGTGATTTGTATTTTTATTGTATATAAATTTATTTTGTTATTTTTAAAGAAATGAATAAAGTTTTAAAAAGTCCTTTAAAGGTGCTGTGACATGTCTGTCCTTCAAATACAAAAAGTCAAAGAAAACATCTTTACTCTTAAGAAAATTGTCATAAAAYACATGATTTTACACATTTTGTCACATTAATGGCCCATTTTCCTTTTAATTTGGCTCAGCCAAAGTGAAACAGGAAGTGACATCAAAGAGGAACTCATTAATAAAATAAACTCACTGGTCTTTTTTTATTAAAACAAAATTATTTAAACTTTAACTCTTCTTCGTCTCTCTTTGATAGAGACTCAAAATAATCTAAAGAAACATCAGATTCTTCTCTACAGTCTGTGTTGTTAGCTTTTGTAACAACGCTCTGTTTACATGCAGACATTCCCCTYTGACATCACTTCCTGTTTCTTCACATGCAAATATCTCAACAACTGTTCATYTCAGCGRCRTGAAATTTGTTTTGYAAYATGTTWTCAATGTTKTCTTTCCAAAAATGCATTYATGTTTATTACAAAAATKTGATGTCACAGGCCCTTTAAACCCTTTAAGCTTTTTGTTTTTAGCTTTTAGCTGCTGTTTTAATCATTCAGCTGACAGTTTTTCATCTTTCAGCTCCGRGCTGCAGACCTGTGTCTGAGAGGCCCCCCTGAGGTCAAAGGTCACTCACTTGGGCATGTTCATGCCTCTGATGCTGTGCCGGTGGATGCTGTAGTAAAAAGCTGGATGTTCCAGAGACGCATCGGGCTTCAGCTTCTTCACAACGTTCCCAGAGTCCTCCCCGCTCTTCCTCTTCCCTGCAGGAAGATCAGAAATGACACTGAACGAACAGGAAGTGTCTGTTTGCTGAGAGGAAACCATCAGAAGCTGATAAATGCAGTAAAATCTAAGTTTTATTGTAAACACACAGAAATGAGGCGACACTGCCCCCTGCTGGATCTGTGTGGAAKTACACCAGTTTATTCTGAAGGTTTAACCCTCTTTTGTGGATCTTTACAGGTTTATAATCTGTAAACTTTGTGTTTTCCAACAAGATGAAACAACGAGGACCAACTCACCTGCAGGATCAGGTGGCCCCGCCTCCTCGCCGCTCTGTAACGTCTTGATGACGACGCCACACTCCACTGCAGAGGAAACACAAGACTCAGCGTTTCAAGCTGCCAACAGCACACAGGGACACAGCCGGGACCCTTACCCTGGTTGGTGAGAGCCGACGACCCGTGGACCAGAGACTTGAGGGGGGTGCACTCGGACTCGCAGATCAGGGTCTTGACGAGCGGCTGGATGTCGTCCATGCTGTGCTGCACGGCTGCAGAGAGCATCCTCCTCAGGAAGCCTGTGTTGAAGAGAGGGCCGCACCTGCAGCCAGAGACAAAGAGCACTGTCTGTGTGTGTGTGTGTGTGTGTGTGTGTGTGTGTGTGTGTGTGTGTGTGTGTGTGTGTGTGTGTGTTTACCACAGAGGGCCCAGATGCACGGCGGTCTTTCCAGGCAGACTTCCATGACAGTTACAGGGCAGCGTGTCTGAAACACACAGGTAAAGGTCAACGACCTCTGCTACAGAACATCATCAAAAACATGATTTTCCTGCTTCAGCTGCAGGTAAAACTTTATTTTTATATCATTGTAAATGATACAGTTTGTTTAAAATAAAGTTCRGCTGATCTTTAGCTGACAGGGTATMTGCAGGTTCAAATTTAAGACTTTTTAAGACCTTTTCAATACTACCTTGTATGAAATTTACGACTGAAAAAACTATAAAGAGACATATCGTTGGGGAACCGTGCTGTATTAATTACCCGTGTGTCACTCAGTGAAACACAGTGAATATAAAGATATTCACTGCTCTCTGGTTCACAGCTGGATTGTACAGGTGCAGTTATTTGGTTGGAAACATCCAATAAAAATATATTTACTGAATACTTGGGCCTTAATTGTGTCTTAATGTCCAGTTATATCTTTATACACAAAAAATATCAGGAAACTACCTATAAATATACTTTACCCTGCATGAAGACCAACAACATTCAGAAGTGAGGTTTTTTTTTAATTAATTTTCTGTAGTTTACTATGAAGTCATTTAAGTTTACAGAAAATTCTTTGTAAAAAATATTTTTTATATATTTTATTAATTTCTATCCTAAAATGTCTATAATTCCAAGAGAATACAGGATCATAATTCATGAAGTCATTTAATACTGTTTATTTTTCATATTTGATGTTGTATGAATTATATTGATCACAGTACAGTTACCTCTTAGTTTAGTTTGAAATATATGAAAGGTTTGCACATCCAAACACCTTATTATTGTTTGTAGAAATAACAGATATTTATGATAAACTACGACCAGCTGAAACTGACCCACAGAGAGAACTTTGTGAGTTTAAGGAAGATAAAATTTAAACAGAGACACGTCTTTGCTGTAAAAGTTCATGTTTTAACATGAAAAAGATGAAAGCAGCAGCTGCCTCCCCCCTGACTGAGAGAAAACAGTCTGAGCGCTGCAGAGCCACAACTTCCACACGTCTGTAAGGTAACGATGAAGCTCACAACACATTAATGTTTCATACAAAGTCAGACTTTAGATACWAAACTCCGGGCAGGTCGGGGCTCGGGTCAGGAGGAGGGGTGGGGTAATGGTGTACCAGTTCAGGTATCGCACCGGTTGAAATGGACTGCTCATGTGTGAACACAGTTTTTAATTCTTAAATGTTTAATGATTTCTTACATCACTTCACCTTCACAGGGTGACGGGCAGTTCTGTTAAACGGGTCGATGCGTCATCTTGGAGAAAAGTAGAGAAAACCATGTTTCCTCCTGCAGTCTGTCTCTCTGCAGGACCCGCCCTGCTCTGCTCTGATTGGCTCAAACTGTGACTCTGGCTCTCTTTATTGGTTGAAAGCAGCGTCAGTCCCAAATATTTAGTTTTTTCCTCCTCACCTTTTTAGGAAATCAGCAGCGGAGACGAAGAAGTTAAATCTGTCCTACCTGACAAAACTTAAGACCCTTGAGTAACGTAAGACTAACTTACACATTATTMAYAAATTCAATACTTTTAAGGACCCTTCATTTTATAAATATAAGACATTTCAAGAGTTTTCAAGGACCCACAGACACCCTGGCTGATCTTCAGCTGATGTTAATGAGTAGGAAGACGCAGGTGCAGCAGCTCACCGTCCATCATGTTGCCCAGTCTGAGGAAGACCCTCTCCTCACACCACTGACAGTGGACCAGCTTGCGGAGCTTCTTGGCGGACTCGTCGGCCTGAGACGGACCTCTGAGGACCCTCACCACCACRAGCACAAAGTGTTCCACGGCCACGGCCAGCAGCACCTCGATGCCTTTGTTGCAGCGCGCCGCCGCTCTGCAGAAGGAAGCAGGTGTTCAGACGAGGGTCCGTTTAAAGACCACGCCCCCTGCGTGTCAAACCCCGCCCCCCTCACCTGGCCACCGAGGCTACGACCATCCGAGCGGCCAGCTCCTTGTAGTACTCGGTGCGGACGATGCTGCAGCCGTAGTGGCGCAGGGTGACGTTGGGTGACTTGGCGTAGAGGGAACTCGTGTCTGTGGACGTCACCGAGATGATGCCCAGGTTACGCACGTTCCTGAAGGCAGCGTCCAGGTAGTTCACAGCCGTGCCGAACGGGTCCAGGTGTCTGCAGGAGGAAGTGAGTCAGCAGGAAACCTGTTTACCTGAGAGACATTTTCTACCTGGGACCTGTCACAATATGGAGGTCCTTTGGTTTTTATTATTCAAACGTAAAAACAGTTTCAATCAAAACGAAAAGTTTCAATCAAAACGAAAAGTTTCAATCAAAATGAAAAGTTTCAATCAAAATGAAAAGTTTCTATCAGAACTAAACGTTTTAATCAAACCAAAGTGAACGGACTGAAGTGATTTCCTGCACACTAACCAATAAGGACACGTCTTACATAGTTCCTCCTTAACCCCGCCCCTTTACTTTATGTTCTCTGAGTTCAAAACTTTTTTGAGTTCAGCCAAAAACCTAGAGTGTTTTAATTTTCTACATTTGAACTTTAGATTCAACCAAAGATTTCTGTGAAAATAAATATGTTTCACAAAAAACTTTGAATATTTTTGACTGAAACTGTCTTTTTGTTTGAAATAATAACATAAAAACAAAATGACTTCCACATCACAGCGACTCACTTACATGTAGTCGAATGGCCGCAGGTGCATCATGACGTTGGCGTCCATCTTGGATACCTCCACCGTGGCGACGGGGCCCGTATCAGCCTCACTGCCCCCTCTGTTGGGCCCCCGGGGGCCTCGCTGGCCCCCGTCCACTCGGATGTTGTTCAGCTCGCAGTTCTCTTTGATCATTTTGACGCAGATGTCGCTGATGTCCGTTATGGTGACTCTGACGGCGCCGCGCAGGTGTTTGGCCCACTGGAGGCCCATGATGCCTGCAGACAGAGATCAGGGTTTATTTTCCTCTCAGTGACCTCGTCACGTTTCGTCACGTCTCTCGTCTCGTCATGACTCATCACGTCTCGTCACGTCTCGTCTCACGTCTCGTCTCATGTCTCGTCTCACATCTCGTCACATCTCGTGTCTCGTCTCGTCACGACTCGTCTCGTCTCACGTCTCGTCTCATGTCTCGTCTCATGTCTCGTCTCGTGTCTCGTCTCACGTCTCATCACAACTCTTCATGCCTCGTCTCACGTCTCGTCTCACATCTCGTCACGTCTCATGTCTCRTCTTGTCACGACKCGTCACGTCTGGTCTCACATCTCGTCACGTCTCATGTCTCGTCCCGTGTCTCGTCTCATGTCTCATCACGTCTCGTGACTCGTCTCATCACGACTCATCACGCCTCGTCTCATGTCTCATCTCACATCTCATCACGTCTCATGTCGCGTCTCTCGTACCGTCTCTCGTCTCATCTCATGTCTCATCTCGTGTCTCGTCTCATTTCTCGTGTCTCGTCTCGTCTCGTGTCTCGTCTCGTCTCGTGTATCGTCTCTCGTCTCGTCTCATGTCTCGTC